GATATATTTAGAGCATTTTCATTGTTTGCAGTTGATCCTGAGAAAACTTTTTTTTTTTTATCAGAGCTGCATTCAGTTCAAGATTTGAGGTTGACCCAGAAAAGTTTCATGCACACTGATGGTGTCGTCCCATTTCGCAATTTCTGGGTGAAAAATCTTTTGGTGAACAGTTCTGAAAATGGTCTTGGACTAAACAAAGCAGATACCGTAGATAAAGGCAGGCAGAGAATAATCGGTGGGAATGATCGTAACTTTTCCAGCGTTTAGTGGTTGAGAGTGGTGGAGAGGCAGCTGGGAGCTGGCACAGCCTCAGTGGGAGGCAGCCCCCCCCCCACAGCCTGATCTTTCCACTGAAGGTTAATCACTGCACTCGGAGCCTTCATGTCTTTTGAAAACACAAAAAGAGATGTTGACTCATGAGACGTATCGATACGCCGCATTTTCCCAAGAAACTGTCATCAAGGCTTTCAGTTTTTTTGACTCCCAACTCACTGTTACTGAAGCTTGAGTAGCAATTAGTTTGACATTTTTAAACATAGTCATTGCCTAATTATTTTGCAATAAACTCCTTCAAATAAGTACCTTTGAGACTGAATATTATCTGAAGAACCTGTGGCTGGGATTGCTCTGCAAGCAGTTTTTTTTTTTTACCTGTTCAGAGAACATCAAAGGAAAGTCACGCTGTCAGGAAACCCTGGTGACATATTTACACACACACACAAAAAGAAAAAATGAATATGTATGAGCATATATCAGCTGAGGGACTATTGAGGAAATTTCAGCATGGAATTTCAACACAAAAACTTTAAAAAAAAAAAAATGTTTCGATCCTTTCCTGGTGATGCAGAGTGAGCTGCATCCAGAGCTGTGAGGCGGTCGGATATGGTGATGTTGGACAGAAGCCTGCTTTTGTGGGGATAATGTCACAATTGTTAAGAACATGCGTTGGACGAATTGGAATCAGTGGAATTTACTTTCCTATGCACTTGTATGCCGTGTATGTCGTTTTTTGGCTCAGAATTCGATCTGAAGAATGAGTAGGAATCTTTGCAAGGCCATTAGTTTTGTTTTGTTTTTTTATGTTTATTTTTTTTACAGCCTGTGTCCAACCAGTTACTCTGTGCCAACGAGCACATCATCTGGCCCTAGGCCGTCCATCAATCTATAGTTAGGCAGCCACATGTACTACCTCTCTACTCCCACTAACCCGTCCATCACAGGTCACTGACCCAGCATCACTGACATTAATAAAGCAGAACAGGGACACAGTAACCTCATCCGAACCCAAGCTCCACATTATTCCCCACACATGCTGATTGACATGAATTCTTTTTTATTAATTCTCCCCTAACTTGGTTTTAATGAAGCGATTCCTCGTTGGACTGGAACTGAAACTTTCATTTTCTCTTGGTGGTAATTTTTCACATGCATTTTAATGGGAGACCTTAATTATAGTGGGAAATATATATTTAAAAAAAAACATTTGATCAAATGTATGGGAATCAGAAATACTTTAATAGTCCCAGAGGGAAATTATTTGTCTTATTATTTATATTTGTATATATTTATTTAGCGAAACCTCTGTCACTCCTAATAATGTAAAAAAAAAAAAATCTATAAAAATGCACATGTGATGAGAAAGGGAGGTAAAAGGCACCCTCTGATGTTCTTTTTGAAAAGCTAATAGTTTTATTAGGTGGAGGAGACTCAATCAGGATTTGGAAAGTAATATTTTTAATGTTTTTCTTTCCATATGATGGATTTATATGTCCATCGAAGAGCAAATTATTAAGGGTTTTGGACAATTCTTTGACATCAGGTGTTCCCTGTCAATATCTTTCTTTTTCTCAACTGTTTAAAGTCATAGATCTTTCTGTGCTGGACATATAGCACATTAAGGTTTAGCTCTCAGTGGTAACTCTTGCTGGGCATGTCTGAACATGTTTGAGATGTAGCGGCTCTGTGGTCCACTGTGGACTCAGTTTAGTGGTAAAAACTGTGGAATTAATTGGCTGAGTGTTGTACAGATTGAAAAAAAAGGTAATTTTTGATTATTTTATCTTTTTAAAACAAATCTTCTAGAATTTAGATTAAAACAGGCTTGCACAAGGCTGTGTTTTGTCTGTTGGATTATTATTTAATGAAACATTAATGCTTAAAGCAGAGGAGAAAAATAAAAAGATGCAGACGGACAATTTTGATGAATTTTAAATAGCTGGAATAAGGTTTTGATTTGCCTTTTCCTTTATTTTTAGACATTCATATTGAATACCAATGCTCATGATCTCTGGATAAGTGGAATCATCATCCTCATCATGAACGGCAGATTAGATCGATGTCTGTGTGGTGAACGGCACAAACGTGACCTTATCAGTGAGAATAGTGGGTGTAAATGACCCGAAAAAAGCTGGACTGTCAGCTTGTGAGCGTGGAATTCAAACCCCTCCTCGACCAGCAGAAACCCAGACCCGATCCGATCTGAACGCTGTGGATCGGCGTGGCCCACAAATCATTATTTGCAGAATGGAAACTGCTCCGGCTCACCAGTGGCCTCTGCTGCAAACCCGATTTTTTTTCCTTTTTTCTTTTTATAGTGGTGTTGTTCTGCTCCCGGTTTTATGTAATAGCACCGGTGCAAAGCTGCCCTTGAGCGTAAACTAGCAGCCGTTTGATGTTCGGATCTGTGCGGGCAACACTGAGCATGAGTCATCCAGAAACCCCCACACACACACACACACACACACACACACACACACACACGATACTCTGAGCAGCAGCAGGAATTACAGCACAGTCATCAAAACCACACCGCTTGTTGTTTTTGTTGTTGTTGTTTAAAAAAAAACTTGTTTTCTTTTTTTAAAAGCGTCTTTTTTTATCAGCAGAACATGAGACCGTGGTACCAACGGTCATTGTCTGTCTTCCCTCAGTGAACTTATTTGTGGAATGAATTGAATGATGAATTTAAGTTATGTCCTTTCTTGGTGAACTTTAAAAGAGCTTTAAAATGTAAAATGATCAAATCTTACGCTGTTATGTAGATCTATATATGTACTTGAATCTGAATTGGAAGAAAAATCCTGGTAAGTTGTAAGGTAAAAAATAGGGTAGGCAAGAATAAGCTTTGCTTCGGCCTATTCCTTTTTTGGTAAACTGTGGGTTTGTCTATTGTTCTTTTCTTTTTTTCTTCTGTTGTTTCTTGTGTTTAATGTGGACAATTTACCAAAATAAAGTGATTGATTGATTGATTGATTTGTAATGATATTAACATCATAGGTCATAGTGATTGCGTAATGGTGCTACAAACTTTCCTGATGCTTATTAACCGACAGGAGGAAAGTTAGGAAGTGGGACAGGTGTCTGTGGAGTTAATCTGCGGCGCAGACGTGGCTTTAAGTGATTGTTGACATAATATCCTCCAGTGGCCGTGTCCTCTGGCTGCTGAGAGGCCTTCAGGGTCACACACCGAGGCTTAAGGCTTTTCTTTTGTTGTGTTTACGTTCAAACTAGTAGCCGTGTTGTCAGTGACCACTGGGACTCGATGGCCATCTCTCAAACCCGCTGACCTTTGACCTCCTCCTCCTTTAGCACAGGGCAGTTTCTAAGGGCTGCCAGTGACATCACCAATGAGGAAAAGGGTCGACTTCCGACAGCCAGAATGAGACTTTAGTCTAATTGTAAAGGTGTTATTTAGAGGCTGTAATGGCTGCAGGGATAGAGGAGTTGTATTGTTTTCGTCATCAACCCGGAATTTTGGCGTCTACCTTAACCTACTATGTGTAATAGGGATGTCCCGATCCAGCTTTTTCCACTTCCAATCCGATCCCGGCCTATCAGAGCATGTACTCAAGTTTAAAGTTATTTATCTACTCACTTAGTTGTCAGACTCATGTTGAACAGGGATTTACTCCGATAACAACTTAATGGTTAGGACACAGAGCTGTGGGCTACAGATGCTAATGCTAATTCTAATGATTGTGTGGGATCGGACTGTAAAAAAACCTGGATCTGGAGTCTGGATCTGCATTTTCTCCTGCCGGCCGATACGCAGTTTTTTGAGAATATCGGCGGCCGATCGGATCCAGATATCGGATCAGGACCAGCCTACTGCATTTAATTATTGCAGATTAACAGTCTGAGCATGTTCTCTGCATTTCTGAAAGGTTTTAGCTTCTTTGACAAAGGAGACTAATTAAATATTTGTTGAAAAGAGGATTCTTGCTGTTGCCCCTTTTAGCAACCTCTTAAGTCTATTAGGTCAGTGTTTTTCAACCACTGTGCCTCGGTACACTAGTGAGTGATGGTCAGGTGTGCCGTAGAAAATCATCCTATTTCAACTAATTGGTCTAAAAAGATTTTTGATAAGGAATTAATCATCTACAAATAATTTTTGAGTGTCTGTGCTGTTCTAGTGACTGGTGGCGTAATCATGTAATAATTCCTTATGACTAGATTTTGTATATAATTTTGTATATTGAAGTGGACATGTTAAGTGCAATTTGAAAGAAGAAATATAAAATATGATCAAAATACATTTTTGTGTTTATTTGATTCCTATTCAAGACACTTAAGATAAGAATAAGATAAGAATAACTATAGTGTTACTATAGGCAGCTACAGATTTCTTTTGACATTTTGGGTTGGTGGTGTGCTTCGTGATTTTTTCAATGAAAAAAGTTACCTTGGGTCAAAAAAGGTTGAAAAACACTGTATTAGGTTATTGGATCGGGACCGGCCTGCTATGTAATGGTGATTTTACTCCTGTACAGGCGGGGGGACCTAAGCGACCCCCGCCTGACTGTCCTTGCCTTGTAGTCCTGTTGTTTTGTGCAACGACAATAAATGAAGTCTAAGTCTCCCCGTGTTTTTTATGGCAGGTGTTCCCCTCCTCTGGGCGGCGGATGCCGAGGCCCCCCCGCCGTTAGAGCTCCCCGGGCTGGAGCGTCTGCTGACCCGCCTCCGGCCCCGGAGGCCCCCCCCCCGCCCCCCCCTCCACCACCATGGACCAGCAGCGAGACAAATACGGCGAGCGGCCGGCCAGGAGCACCAAGGTGTCCCAGGGCGGCCGCAGCGGGCACTCCTCCAGACCCTCCGGGTCCTCGGGGTCCTCCGGGGTCCTCATGGTGGGGCCCAACTTCCGCGTGGGGAAGAAGATCGGCTGCGGGAATTTTGGCGAACTGAAACTGGGTAAGAAACTTTTTTAAAATGATTAGAAGCTGAAGCCTCACAGGTTTGTTTAGTTTAGTTTAGTTTAGTTCAGTTTTATTAGGATCCCCATTAGCTGCCAAATAAATGGCCACTAGTCTTCCTGGGGTCCTCACATGAAGAAATTATATTACATTATAAACAGATCATACAAATAAAAATAAAAATCACAGTAGGAAATAATAAAAACATAAACAAGAGTAGACTATACAACATATACACACAGGTCAGTTCATGATATCATTTGCAGTAGTTCTGAAGACACAATATTTTGCAGAGAACTTTGGCGAATTGAAACTGGGTAAGAGAAGTTTTTAAATGAGCAGAAGCTGAAGCTTCACAATGTTTGTTTACGAGGCATTTTTAGAGTTTAAGTGGCCTAAAATCTCCAGAAAGCTAAGACTAATGCACCTTTACTCTCTCACCTCAGGTAAAAACCTCTACACCAATGAGTATGTAGCTATCAAATTGGTAAGTACGGACGTCTTTTCATCTCTTTTACAGTTCAGTGCTGTTGTTGATTTTCAGAATAATCGATTTAAGAAATGAATTGATGTGGGATTTGTTCAGGTTGAAAGAAAAATGCATCAGTGATATTTATGTTATTTTATGACAAAAACATAGCCAAATATTTTTAAAAAAGCCTTTTATTTTAAAAGCCTTTGTTGGAATATAAATCAGAAAATCAGAAATAATTTTCCTCTGCGATATTAAATGTATTTATTTATTTAATCAGGACAGTGCACATTAATGAACAATCTTATACTTCTGTACAGATTGTAAATGAGCCAGATTATAGCATAGTTGCTAATTTACATCTGTCTTCCAGAGGCAGGAAGACAAAACAACACAAAATCACATAATACAATATCACTCAAAACACACAGATACACGTTCAGACAATCACATCAAAACAATAAAATTACTGAGTGCATGACGGGGAACTGACGGCAGTAGTGACTAATCAGAAATCCGGACATTAGGAAGTGGGAAAAAACTGATGCCGGTCCGTGGGGGGGTGAAGCTCCAGGTATCTGTTGGGTGATACAGTTCTGCTTTTCCAGTTAAATCTGGCTGATGTGCAGATGCTCAGACGGCCTCCCGGCTCAGGCCCTTATTATTATTATTATTATTATTATTATTATTATTATTATTATTATCGCTGACTCCAGTTTCAGTTTGCATCAGCAAATAGTTTTCTGCGACTGACCTGAGCTGTTCGGCTCCTCGGTGGAAAAATGTTTTGAAATGCTCTGAATGAACTTGATTCAGTTGGGGGGTGGGCACAAAGTAGGGGTTTAATTTTGGCTTGTCCTTTAAACCATGAACCATGTTAAATTTAAACTTGAATTGTTTAAATGACACTGTTTTGGTTGTGTTCTTTGCTCAGGAACCGGTGAAGTCGAGGGCACCACAGCTGCATTTAGAGTACCGGTTCTACAAAACTCTGGGAACAACAGGTGAGGGCGCATGTCTTTTTATTTATCTCCTTTTTTTTTTTTTTAAGTCCTTGCCATGTTTACATGTGACTTCAGGAAAATGATTCCACTGTTTTGGAAGATCGGCCTAAAGATTGTATCATTTCCACAACAGGCGATTACCCGGTTCAGGTTACATGTTGACACAGGCCGGATCTGCAGCTTATTTTAATCTCCTGTGCGGTTTTAGAGGACGTGCATACGATGCTTATGAATGGAAACCCCTGCAAAATGGATATACTCAAGGTTTAATACAAAGGGTTTAAGCCATTGTCCTCATTTACCCAAAGCATATTGAGTTGATCTGACTCTGTGGGCTTCCCTCTCGGGCTTCAGGACAAATTGTCTTGACTCTGTTTCTTGACCCATTTTGAGCATTTATTACTGAGTTTGTAAGATTGGCATTTTGTTGAGTTATATTGTCTATTTTCTGTACGCGTTAAAGCATGTGTTTTTGTTTTTTTTATTGCTTTTTTTTTGTGAATAAGGCAGTGTTTTTGCTTTCTAATGCACAAGTATTCAATAGACGTCAAGACTATTTTGCTACTTAAAACATTTCCTGGTCAGAAACATCACACATGATAACTACCAATGAAAACATAGAAATGACAGGATATCGTAGAAGGCTTGTTATCTTGCTGCTGTGTCTAAATGCTGTGCTACGGAAACTGTGAGCAGAGAAAGAAGAGAATTGGAGAGCTTCTAGCATTTCATTTAGAAGAAAACTTGAGTTGACCTAAATTTGGATGCTCAGTAGGTTTGGACTAACATTGTCATTATCTGTCACTAGTGGAAGGATGATGGTAAACCACATTTATGTAGTGTGTTTTCATCTGTTCTCACAGATGAATATGGGGGCTCCTTTTATTGTGCAGTGTGGCATTCAGGGTCTGTTTACAGTGTTGCCTTCAGGGTCCGTGTGGCAAATGGGAAGCCCAACCACTTCCAAGAATTCAGGGATGTAAATGATTCATCTCAACAATTAAATTTGTATGCAAGTCTTTATTTTTTTGTTTTTTTTAGTTCTTTAGTTCCTTTTTTAAAATTTATTTTACAAATGACCCGAACTAATTGTTGATATATCTTTCAATCTATTATTTTCATTTTCTTTTTTTAAACCAAAGTCTTTAAGATATTAGCTATTGACTCTATCAAGAAGCAGCTCTAGTGTTGTCATTTTAAATGCTTCGATAATAGCTGTTAGCAATAACAGTGCAAGCAGGCTAACTTCTGCCGTCCTATTGGCTTCTCTGTTGTCTTCCACATCTCTGATTGGTGATCGGAAAGTATTCAGTTCTCAGAATCCAAGCCATACGAATAATTGTTGCTTCTCTCTCGTCTGTTAATCCTGTTCCAAGTCATGTCGGAAAAGATAAAAATGGCGTTCTGATGAATCTCTGCTGCACCCTGAGAAGATTAATCCAAAGATTAAATGACCATTAGAGAAAATGAGATTAAAAGCACATTTATAACAGGCCTGTATTTGAGGGAATGGGTGGGTCTGTTTTAAGTAATAGAATAGTTTAAAAATCTCCCATCGTGGTTATCTGTTCTTGTCATAGTGACATAGGTTAAAAACTAAGTGCTATTAATAGTATGCATCTAATCTGGAGCTGTTGGTGTCTGACAATGGTTTGTAATTGATTAACTAATGGCATCTCTGCATCCCTGCCACAGGCAGGCCTCTGGATGGCTGAGAAAATAAGAGCTGATTTTTATTGTGGCACATGATCCTTGGCCAGGTTTTTTGGAACACTACATGCAAATCCGATAACCCAACTGGGAGTTTAATGGCTATTGTTTTGCAAAGGCAAGGACTGGAAAAGGCCAACTGTGCGGAAACTCATTAAATATTTACAGAGCGGTTCTGCCTCTCTTAATACTAACCTACCTCTGTCCTTTCCTCCAGATGGGATTACGTGACCTCATTTCTTCTGGGCTGTGCGCCGGGCCACATTACTCAGCCCGCGTGATTGTCAGTCTTTGTTTGATGGAGCCTTTGTGAATTCATTTTGTGGGACCTGGATGCTCAGTCAGGTGTTTTCTGAAGCACAACCGCCTTTCCCTGGATATTAATGAGGGGGGATCACTTTAGCAACAAGTACGGTACTTGCTTTCATATCTTATTGGAGAGAAGGCAGAGTTTCAGTCCTGATATGTCTTGACAGAATCACAAATTTGTGGCTGTTTTGAGACGTTCGAAAATGAGATTTTGAAGGGAAACGCTGCTCGTAATGGAGTGGGTGAAATCCGACACCGCCGCCGTAAGCATGGCAGCTGCAGAGGAGTAAACACTTCTCAGTACGCAGTTTGTTTTAGTGAGAAAAGCAGAAAGCAGGGAGCTGAGCAGAGCGTTTGGTGAGGATGGAGACGGTAAAAAGCCTTCTGTCTGTTATCAGAAAAGCACAGTGACAGTCCAGTGGAATTCCCACCGGAACGATGTCCCCCTTCTCTTTTTGCCAAGTAGAATAAAAATGTTCAGGCGGGTGATCTCATCATAGTCGTCTTTAACTCGATCGCTTGTGTTTCAAAAGCTTCGGTTTACGGTGTAATGAACTCTGTCGGAGAATAAGAGGGAGACCATGTGCAGACGTGTGAATCGTGCTGTTAACGAGGCTAACGCCAGCACCACCATCCCTCCAACGGGGAATTTGGTGCTTAAACCGGTCCCGTTTTGTGGCTGTTAACAAGCCTGTGTTGGCGTGTACCGGGCTCTGTGCTGAAAACGGGCCGGGGCTTGTTCTTTTCCATGTTTTTTTACCCAAAAATAATCAAATCGGAAATGGTTCCGGCACCTGAAACTGAGAAATCAAACGGAAAAAATTGGAAATGGGGCCAAGTGTAGAAGCAATGTTTTTTTTAGTTCAAACAGAAGTGGTTCTTAGACTGATCGGTTACCCTCATTTGTAGATGGCTCTTTGGTTGTGTTTCAAGGAACGTTAACCCCTTTAGGTGTGAGCTGATTCATTGATGCTAACATGACCCCTCAGCTTCCTCCAGGCTTCTGTAAGACGGAGTAAATCAATAGGCTGATCACCTGTCAGCTTATCGACTGGCAGGGACCTGAGATCACAATGACACAAACCACTTTATATGCTTTTACTTATTTATTTTCATCCTGTTACATTTCCATGAATCAAATGGATCCTCATGACTGCTGCAAAGTGGATTCGACCCAATAACAGGCTGGCAGCCATCAGTTGGGGATAAAACATTTGGGGAAATCTGTGCAGTGTAGCCAACTTTATTATTGTTTAAGGGTTTTCACATATGGCAAATAGCCCTAACCCTAACCCTCCCCCAATTATTAATCACCACTGACTTTCAGAAGCTGCTGTACATAAAGAAGAAAGATGTAAAAATCTGAGGAATCAGCCTGGAGTTAGAAAGAGATAGAAAGAAGATGAGAGAAAGCCAGGAGAATTCATGTTTCCTCCAGTCCACAAGATCATTTAAATTTAAACCATCCTTTTTTTCCCCCCCATTGGACTGTTTATTTGTGTATTTACAGAAAATCTCCCGTCTGAGACATTTTGGGCCTCCCACAGTCACCTGGGCTTTCCAGGCTCTCATTCCTGTGGTACAATTAGCAGCCCACAGGACTCTGTAACGGTGTCCAGAAACACAGGATGGAGCACAGCACGACTCCTCCATCCTCATATGTCTCACGCTGGATTCTGCTCCTTATTAAGCTGCCACTTCAAATGCCTGCCGCACATCCCTTTAAAGAAATCTGATATTAAGAACCAACTCGTGTAAATGACTCGTGTATGGGACTGAGAGAAAGTGACTACGATACTGTTCTATTACCAGATATTAGCAGCTAAAACAGATATGTGTACAATGTCCTGGTATTTGCTGGTTGGAAAGCGGTTAGAAGGAAACGGCTGGCAAATAAGGCTCCTACAAACGAGGACTTTACCAAAAACGGATCATTTTGTTCTCTACAGTGGAGATGCTAACTTGAATTTTTAAGGCTTGAACAAAGAAAACAATCGGTGACTGCAGAGAGTTTAAGTCCTATTGTAACAAGGTGACTTTTTCTTTTGCATTTACTTTTGTAACATTTACATTCTTGCTTATTTCTATTTTCTATCTTCTCTTTTGTCATTTGACGTGACGACGAAGCTGGACATGGTAACAAAATAACCTGCGACATGTGTAAACTATTTTATTTAATTCATATTGATATGATTTCTGTAACAAAAAAGAAATGATGGCACGTCCATGCTTTTATATTGGAGAAGAAATTCCTATACGTTAACAGTATGCAATAACTACAGATTCCACCTGCATGTGCATGTTTATCCATAAACAAGTAGTAAATCCACCTTCTTAAAGTACGTTCTTTTGTTTGAAACCTACTTGATCCTCTCTGTGGATACTCAGGTTTAACTAATGTTTTTTACTTATCTCCTGACCGAGCGGCCAAAGGACAGACTGTACGATGGAAACTTGCTTTGAAGTTTCTTGGGCCGGACTTTTTAATAAGACCCTGACAAGTGGTTTAAAAAAAAAAAAACTTGGAGTCATGCTTCCTTGATGCCAGTTAACAGCCTGACCTGATTTCCTGTTCTTTGAAACTGAAGTCCAGGTCGGGATGACAGCCGAGTATTGATGCCTCCATTTACCAAACCATGATGATGTGCGCATGCATCATACTTTAAACGATGCACAATGTTTGTCCTCCATCGGAAGACTTTTCATGAGTAATACCGGCAGGAAAACATTCTCAGTGCATTTTAAAGAGGACATATAATGCTAACCCAAGTTTTTAATCATGTGATTGTGTACATTTGGGACTGTGGAGGGCCTATCAGCAGGCAAAGTGTGAAAAAAATGACTCAGTCATGTTTTTGTGGGCTGTCTCAGTCTGAATCCAGGAGATAAATCAGGAGGTTTCAGGAGTGGGTAGTTTCTGACGTCATTAGCTCTAGCTCATTATAATATT